TGACTGGTTTGTGCCAGAATCTTTGCAGTTCGATCTTTAAATCCTCATATTGTGTCAGCTTTTCCAGTTGTTTCTCTTCAATCCTGCTGTCGCCTGCCGTCGCCGATCCACACTCTGTTTTTTAACATGATCATGAGGTCGGGAGTTTTGTGCTCCAAAACTCAGTCTGAATTCGGAAGTCCCAGAGTAGTTTGATGTGTTCATACTTTGTAACTTTTTCAAGCTTGTGATCCCATCAGTTCTTTGTCACAGACAGATGGTATTTTTGGCACAAGTTCCAATGAATCATCTGAGCAACACTGTTATGCCTCTGCTTATAGTCTGTCTGCACAATCTTCTTGCAGCAGCTGAGGATATTATCTATTGTTTCATCTGCTTCCTTGCAGAGTCTACATTTGGGATCTGTTGTCGACTTTTCAATTCTGGCTCTGATGGCATTTGTTCTAATGGCTTGTTCTTGGGCTGCCGGAATCAGGCCCTCCGTATCCTTTTTTAAAGTTCAATTTGTGAACCACAGCCATGTTATTTCTTTGTCAATTTGGCTCCCAATTTAGAAAATTAAGCAAGATAAAAATTAAGAGCAATAACAAAAAAGTAGAGCAATAAAGTAACAATAAAGACATCTCATTTTAGCCAACAATGGATCCATAATATCTAAAATATAGCAATAAAATCAAGAATAATAAAGCCATAAAATTTTAAATTTAAAGCAGATGGTCGGGGTGAGGAAAAGGACATGTGTAGAAGGCCAGCGTGTATGTAATTTAGTGCTAAATGACACTGGCATGTATTTATTCCTTTTTTCCTTCTTTCTCTTTGTGCAAATACCAAATATCAATTTAACAGAGGCACTGACAAACACGTTTTGTTTTGTTTTTTTGTTTTTTTACGAAGTAACAGCCTTGAGTTTTTGCAAGACCCAAGGAGGACTGAAGATGACTGGGATCTTGTGTCCATTGCCACTGAACAAGGAAGAACCAAAGTAATATCTACTGGATCTGTGTTAAAGATAGCACCCAGGAAAGAGCAAATTCGAGCCATTTCATCTGCAAATGTTCAAAATGGCCTGTTGAGTGGTCTGAAGTCTCTTCGTATGGGCTCATATGTGAAAAACGCCAAACCACTCAAAAATGGCTCTGCTGGCCAGCTCCCTGCAGACACAACTAGGACAAAGAAGTACAGTTAGCCCTCCAATTCACTGAGGTAAGAACCATTGTGAAAAACCATGAATTAATTTTTTTTTTACCAGAGATAACACTATCTAGCAATGTCTAGGTTCTCCTGCAGAACTCTATGACCAACTTCTGCCAGACATTGGCCACTAGATAACCCAAAGATTCCTGGAGAGATTTCATGACTTTCCTAGGGTTTTCATATGTAAGGAATACTGGCAAGAACTGTAGACTTTCTTTTCTCCTGAGTATCACCACAACMTCTTTATGAGGAGAGGTAAAGTTTTTGAGAGATAGACACAGTTCTGGCCGAACTGATTCTCTTGAATCTTTATTTCTTCTTATTGTCTCTTTCTTGTATGGTGTTCAACTGTCTCTAAGATGGTCTCAATATTCAACTCTGACTGAACTAGACTTGAATACAGCTCCAACTGAACGTGCTTTCCAGCCTTRCRCTTTCTTCACCTTCCAGTCACAAAAAGGCTGACTCTTCCAAGAACCAGAAGTGCCTTACCTGAGGCTCCACCCTTGAGGGGATTCTTAAAGGGCCAGGATGACAGAGGCTTAAATTACAAAGAGGCTGTCTAGACCGACCCCCCCCCCCGAAACAGTACATAAAATATTGATCTCTTTAACTAAAAAGGGATTAATTAGGGGTACATAATGAGGGTCTTCATGGGGCACGACGAACAGTTTCCATTCAAGAACCAACCAGGGCAGATGTTGCTTCATTTCCAAAATCATAGAGTACCTTTAGGATATTTTGGCCATAAAGCCTACTGCTTCTCAAACACATAGGTATAAGCTTTGACATAAAACCTTGTTCATGTGAAATTGTTTTGTATAAATAATGCCATCAATTAACTTGAAGACTGTTTCAATGTAATTGGAGATGGAGTCAAGGGGATTTTTTAGAATTTGACTCATTTCAAGTAGTGCCATTTTAATTCACTATATGCCTTGTTTTAAAAGGCAGAGATACTAATGTGTTTCACAGTCAGAGTGGAAACTAACAACATATTATAAACTTGACCATTACTTAAAATATAATTAATATTTTATTTGTGTTGTCAAAGGCACAGCATAGCTCATTGCGTCTTTACACACTTAACAAGCATTCTGACAAATCACACATTTATATAATGTCCTCACTGTCATAACTGCATTATTTTCTTCCTCCCTCAAAGACCTTATGAAAAGTTGTGGGTGTTTCATGATTACCAAAACAGAAACAACTGCAAAAATAGGTTTAGAAGCTATGATGTGAGTATTTAATAACTGAAAGTTCAGTTTTACACATGGCTATTTCAGACAGGATTATAATCTTTCTTTAGGGAAAACACCAAATATCCTTACAACAGAAATTTAATTCAAATACTTCATGTTGTGCAGCTATAAAGAGATATGAGCTTCATAAAAAGATCATAATCCAATTTTATTTCATTTTTTCTGCCTATATGGAGTACCTGCTGTATTTTATCATTTCTCTCTAAAGCAAGAATAGGGGATCTGTGGCTGTGGCCTTCAACCCTTTCTCGATGTTAATGAATATGGGTGTACCTACATTTTCTGTTTCCCAAAAGTGATTCCCATACACCAGTGATTGCCAACCTGTGGTCCGTTGTCCTCAAGAATGAAAATATAATCTGTGGCCTCACAATTACTACATTGTTGCCTCGAAACAAGAGTGACTGGTCTTGCAAAACCCTCTTATAGTGCCGAGGCAATGGGGATGTTGAGAGGGGAGTGGCTGATGACCCATGAAAGATTACTACTACCACATCAGCTCTAGATTATCAAATATGGTTTTCTGTGAGTGAGCAGATGGCGACTACTGGATGGCATACGTTCAGAAACTAGAGATGGTTTGGTTTATCCAATGCAATTTTCTGAATCAGCACCCCAAATAACCAAGCAGAATCTAAAGTTGACCAAAAACGGATTAGTAACCCTTTTGGTACTAATGTTGGAGAGTGGTCCCTGGTCAAAGTGGACCCTGGTCAAAAAACGGCTAAGAACCACTGCCATCCACCTATCAGAGAAGGAACATCTGCAGAGAGTTTACTTTCCCCTCCTTTGTAAGAAAGAGTGCTTATGAGAACGTTATAGCTATGTAATAGAAGCATTTGATTTATTTTACTTGTATCCTCCTTCCGCCCAAATCTGTTTCTCCTTGTGAGGTTTAGATGATCGTATGCCATGAGGAAAGCCATGCTGGGTTTCTCAAAAAGAATTCGTGCCAAACAAATATTGCATCTTTAAAAAATAAAATTACAAACTTGGTAGATCTAAGGAATGCTGAGGCTTTTAACAAAAGCCACCATAATATAGCATGACCCTCGTATGCATGAGGAAAATGTCTCCGGCCAGATCACATCAAGGCAGAAAATCCCACAATATCTGCTTTGAACTGGGTTATCTGAGTACACACTCAGATAATGTGAGACTTTCTGCCTTGATATTCTGCGATATAGGGCTGTGTGGAAGGGCCCATATTCCAATTCAAAGCAGAAAATGTGGGATTTTATTCAGTTGTGTGGAAGGGCCTCCAGCTCAACTGCATCCTGAAGCTGCAGTGTAGATGGTACCAAAGAAGAGGTAGGGAAAGAAGAGAGGTTGTTGTTGTTCTTCTTCTATAGGAGCCCTTCCACACAGCACTATATCCCAGAATACCAAGCCAGAAAATCCCACAATATCTGCTTTCAACTGGGTTATTTGAGTCCACATTCAGATAATATGGGATTTCCTTCCTTGATATTCTGGGATATAGGGCTTTGTGAAAGGGCCCTAGGTCTCTACAGTCACCTACAGACCCACCGCTAAGGGCCCTTCCACACAGCCCTATATCCCAGAATCTCAAGGCAGGAAATCCCACAATATTTGCTTTGAACTGGGTTATCTGAGTCCACACTGCCATATATTCCAGTTCAAAGCTGATATTGCGGGATTTTCCGCCTTGAGATTATGGGATATAGGGCTGTGTGGAAGGGCCCTAAGGCACTACACTTGGAAAAGTATCATACACGGACCCGAGATATCGCCAATGATGATGATGCATGCAGTTTGAACTGCATTATAGTAGCCAGGCGCCTTCTACACTGCCATATAAATTCCAGATCTCCTGCTTTGAACTGGGATATAGGGCTGTGTGGAAGGGCCCTCGAATTAAGTGTGGATTCAGACAACCCAGTTCAAAGCAGATATTGTGGGATTTCCTCCCTTGATATTCTGGCTGTAAGGAAGGGCCCAGAGTGAGTGTAGATTCAGATAACCCAGTTCAAAGCCGATATTGCGGGATTTCCTGCCTTGACATTCTGGGATATAGGGCTGTGAGGAAGGCCCCAGACTGAGTGTAGATAACCCAGTTCAAAGCAGATATTGTGGGATTTCCTGCCTTGGTATTCTGGGATATAGGGCTGTGAGGAAGGCCCCAAACTGAGCGTAGATTCAGACAACCCAGTTCAAAGCAGATATTGTGGGATTTCCTGCCTTAGGATTCTGGATATAGGGCTGTGTGGAAGGGCCCTAGAGCTCCCAACCTTTGGCCCTGCAGATCTTTGCACTTCACCTCCCAGAATCCCTGACCATTGCATGGACAGGCAGGGTGCTTTATGGGAAGCGAAGCCCCAAATACCTGCAGGAGAGGCAAAACAAAAGCTTCCCAGGTGGGATGAGTGAGCTGCACCCTAACGTGTTCCTTTGGGCCAAACGTTGGCGCGGGAACTTCCCTCCTGAGCTGCATGCAACACATCCAGGGCGAGAGAGACTCACTCCAGGCGGGCCAGTCCCAGCAGTGCCGCGGGGCGGAGCCAGCCTTGCAGCAGAAGCAGCTATAACGCGGTCGAGGCGGGTCGGAGGCTACAAAAGCGCTGTGGGGCTGGCCAAGAGCAGGAGACATAGCTCGGGAAGGAGGAGGAATAGGAGGAGGAACAGGCGGCTGTAGCACTAGCAGCAGCATGGAGAAGGATCCACCGGTGTTCAACAAGCCAAAGGTGAGCCAGGCAGCAGATCAGCCCAAGGCGCCCCCCTTTGGCCATCCGGGGAGAGAGAGATCCTTGGGTGCGCCTATCAGGCTTGGGCAAACTTGGCCCTGCCTCCAGGTGTTTTGGACTCCAACTCCCACCATTCCTAACAGCCAGGCATGGGCCAACTTGGGCCCTCCCTCCAGGTGTTTTGGACTCCAACTCCCACCATTCCTAACAGCCAGGCATGGGCCAACTTGGGCCCTCCCTCCAGGTGTTTTGGACTCCAACTCCCACCATTCCTAACAGCCAGGCATGGGCCAACTTGGGCCCTCCCTCCAGGTGTTTTGGACTCCAACTCCCACCATTCCTAACAGCCAGGCATGGGCCAACTTGGGCCCTCCCTCCAGGTGTTTTGGACTCCAACTCCCACAATTCCTAACAGCCAGGCATGGGCCAACTTGGGCTCTCCCTCCAGGTGTTTTGGACTCTAACTCACACAATTCATAACAGCCAGTCATGGGCCAACTTGGGCCCTCCCTCCAGGTGTTTTGGACTCCAACTCCCACAATTCCTAACAGCCAGGCATGGGCCAACTTGGGCCCTCCCTCCAGGTGTTTTGGACTCCAACTCCCACAATTCCTAACAGCCAGGCATGGGCCAACTTGGGCCCTCCCTCCAGGTGTTTTGGACTCCAACTCCCACAATTCCTAACAGCCAGGCATGGGCCAACTTGGGCCCTCCCTCCAGGTGTTTTGGACTCCAACTCCCACCATTCCTAACAGCCAGGCATGGGCCAACTTGGGCCCTCCCTCCAGGTGTTTTGGACTCCAACTCCCACCATTCCTAACAGCCAGGCATGGGCCAACTTGGGCCCTCCCTCCAGGTGTTTTGGACTCCAACTCCCACAATTCCTAACAGCCAGGCATGGGCCAACTTGGGCCCTCCCTCCAGGTGTTTTGGACTCCACTCCCACTATTCCTAACAGCCAGGCATGGGCCAACTTGGGCCCTCCCTCCAGGTGTTTTGGACTCCAACTCCCACTATTCCTAACAGCCAGGCATGGGCCAACTTGGGCCCTCCCTCCAGGTGTTTTGGACTCCAACTCCCACAATTCCCAACAGCCAGGCATGGGCCAGCTTGGGCCCTCCCTCCAGGTGTTTTGGACTCCAACTCCCACAATTCCTAACAGCCTACCGGCTGTTAGGGATTGTGGGAGTTGGAGTCCAAAACACCTGGAGGGAGGGCCCAAGTTGGCCCATGCCTGGCCACACTGTAAGATACCAACATGTCTCCTTTGTACCTATATACACAAGTCATACATTGCTTCCCTCCTTTCCCATCATGTTCTATCAGTGCTTCTCTTCAAAGCTTTCCTTTTACCCCATGGCTTTTGTAGGCATCCAAAATAAGCATCCAACATTTCTCCCCTCTTCTAAGGTTTTCTTTAAGTTCCCCCAGGCATGCTAATTATTTCCCTTTTTATGCATGAATGGCGTGTTTTTATTATTATTATTATTATTATTATTATTATTATTATTATTATTTGAAACACAACAAGATGAGTCCACAGCAGACACTCTGCTGGCTGTTGAATTGGATCACACGTCGGACACTTCCCAAGTGTCTAGGACTGTGTGATGTATCGGCGAATAATGCGTGCAGATCCCAGTAAGGTGGCCTTCTGCAGCTGGCAGATGGTAATGTGTTTAAGTGCAGGCCAAGGTCTTTAGGCACTGCACCCAGTGTGCCGATCACCACTGGGACCACCTTTACTGGCTTGTGCCAGAGTCTTTGCAGTTCGATCTTTAAATCCTCATATCATGTCAGCTTTTCCAGTTATTATTATTATTATTATTATTATTATTATTATTTGAAACACAACAAGATGAGTCCACAGCAGACACTCTGCTGGCTGTTGTATTGGATCACACATCGGACACTTCCCAAATGTCTAGGACAGTGTGATGTATCGGCGAATAATGCGTGCAGATCCCAGTAAGGTAGCCTTCTGCAGCTGGCAGATGGTAATTGGTGTTTAAGTGCAGGCCAAGGTCTTTAGGCATTGCACCCAGTGTGACGATCACCACTGGGACCACCTTTACTGGCTTGTGCCAGTCTTTGCAGTTTGATCTTAGTCAAGGTTATTTATTATTATTATTATTATTATTATTATTATTATTTGAAACACAACAAGATGAGTCCACAGCAGACACTCTGCTGGCTGTTGTATTGGATCACACATCGGACACTTCCCAAGTGTCTAGGACTGTGTGATGTATCGGCGAATAATGCGTGCAGATCCCAGTAAGGTGGCCTTCTGCAGCTGGCAGATGGTAATTTTGTCAGCGCCGATTGTGTTTAAGTACAGGCCAAGGTCTTTAGGCACTGCACCCAGTGTGCCGATCACCACTGGGACCACCTTGACTGGCTTGTGCCAGAGACTTTGCAGTTCATCTTTAAATCCTCATATTGTGTCAGCTTTTCCAGTTATTTATTTATTTATTTATTTATTTATTATTTAGATGATCGGAGTTATCGTGTGGGTTCATATACGGAGATGCGGTCATGCAGGTAGGCAGGTCCCAAACCTGTTAGGAATTGTGGGAGTTGGAGTCCAAAACACCTGGAGGGCCCAAGTAGTCCCATTACCTGGTATAGACCATAAGAACTTGTTACTATACAGAGTGACAACCAATATGTTTTCCCAGCCCTGTTTGCTAGTTTAACTTTTGGTCTTGTCAGTAATTTCGCAAACAAAAAGTGGCTGCAGTTAGGAAAAAATGGGAAATGCCTTTTTGAAAACAGGCTAACTGCTTTTGAGCTGGGATATTAACTCAGGCCCCTTCCACACTGTCCTGATATCTCAGGATTTGATCCCAGATTATCATTTGATCCCAGATTATCTGGCAATGGAGATTTGTTGGAGCATGCAAGGAATCAGTTAATAAGTGTGTGTAAACTCTAAAATAAGATGCATTAAGCTAATTGGCCAGGCAATGCGTGGGGAGATTGCTGAGCCTGGAACTTTTGGTTACTGTTATATTTTCGTTCAGGCTTGAGCTATGCAGGTGTTCAGAGACAGTTTGAAGAGGGAAGCAGAGAGAGACCAAAGGCCCTTCCACACAGTGCTATATCCCAGAATATGAAGGCAGAAAATCCCACATTATCTGAGGGTGGGCTCAGATAACCCAGTTCTAAGCAGATATTGTGGGATTTTTGCCTTGATATTCTGGGTTATAGGGCTGTGTGGAAGGGCCCACAGTTTGGAGTGTACTTTTGCTTCATGAGGTTCTGAAGGAGTTTACCCGTATGAGCAGAGAAAGACGATTTTAAACCTCTCATAAAAAGGACATTATGTGAGTCGATGCAACTGATCACATTACTGTAAATATGTTGTTCTGAATTATGACGAGTAAACTTGTTCATCTGTGTGGCATATTTTCTTTCTTTGGCAAGGCAGTGTGTGGATTGGTCAAATGTGAACTACACCTGGTTTATTTTACATTACGGCACAAGACCCATATAATCCAGTTATTTATTTGTTTATCGTGTCAGAAGCAAATTGAGGATACAGTAGTAATGTATTTAAAAACACAAAAAAGTTGAAAACTTGGCATTATGATAGATTTCTTTTGACCAGAAGCTGGCCACTTGGAGTGCCTCTGGTATCACTATGAGAAGTTCCTCCATTGTGCATGTGGCAGGGCTCAGGCTGCATTGTAATAGGTGGTCTGTGGTTTGCTCTTCTCCACACTCGCATGTCACAGACTCCACTTTGTGCCCCATTTCTTAAGATTGGCTCTGCATCTCGTGGTTCCAGAGCGCCATCTGTTCATCGCCTTCCAGGTCATCCAGACTTCTGTGTATTCAGTAGGGAGTTATCAGCCATGGATTGAAGTTCCGGGTTTTAGCCTGCCACTTTTGGACTCTTGCTTGCTGAGGTCAGTCCAACTCCTTATAAGAGATGTGGACACATACATAAATTCTAATAACGAAATGTGTGGGGACACAATGTATCTCATTATAATTTTAAAAATATTTGATTTGTGAGATAATAACATACATTTACAAGATTTTTGTCACATTTCGTTACATGCGACACACCCACTGCAACCGACACACTGTGATGCAACAGAGTTTGGAAAGAACGCTTTATGTTCTGGCCATCCGTGATTGTGGATTGTGGGAGTTATACCCCAACATAATATATGGAAAGCCACAACTGCCTTATAGATGGTCTAATCAATAATTGCATGGGTTAGATATCTGATTCATTTGTTATTAGACTGATGTGACAACACATCTTACCAGTCTAAGTTTCAAATATGAGGAAGTTAAATACATGATACTGACTTAGAAGAATAAAGGATGCGGTAAGGTTTTTTGAGTTTCATTTCCTTTATGAAGCAAAGGATCTTCACGTTTCTACACAAATTGCTGGTTTTGTGTGGGGATATTTATAATTAAAACTGCAGTCATCCTAGTAAGTGGCATAAGCGATGATATGTTTAGTGTACACAATTAAACTGAGTATTTTGATATATAATGAGCAGAAGCGAGTCTGTATTGAGGTACATTCCTGTGGCAGATTGTTTCTCTGTCCAAGTGTGAAGTTTATATACTACATTTGAACCCTATAATCTACAAAAGAATGAAACTAATTAAACTTAAATGAAGTGCAGTATCACTGATTAAGTAACCGTGTTACTAAATTCCTAAAGGAAGCAGACATGAAAGCCTTTAAATGGGAGTAATAAAGCATGCTGAGTGAGCATCCCTTATCTGGAATTCAGAAATATTCCAAACTCTAAACTTGTCCACATGAGTGTCTAAGGGAGTGTTACCTTTGCTAGCTGATAGTGCAGTGTATACACTCATTGCTTCATGCACAAAATTATTAAAATATAAACTACTATATTTTACTACTTTTTTGATTTAATACTTTTGTTTTTGTACAGACTTGTAGTGAAACTACTATTCATGTTATGTTAAATACATATCCCAAGAGAGGCAGAGGTTTAAGCCTT